GGTTTGGACCGGACTAGGACATATAATAGGACATGGTTTTGTGGGTTTAAAGCCTTTTTTCCTTTTTGAACATTGAACTTGCTGTACACTTGAGTTTGTCTTCTATTCATCCCAATATGGTAAATTAGGCAATGGATGTTCTTTTCCACTTTATCAAGGCATTTACTGCTATCATCACGCCTTCAGGGCCAGCTCAGAGTTTTCCCCAGCTCCTTCATTTGGACAGTTGTCCTGAAATCAGCCCAGCTTATTTCAGCAGCTTCTGTTTAGTGCTCGCTGTGTGCCCGAGACTGCAGATAGGAAAGGATGGACGTGTTGCAGAGAGGAGGGTGATAAACGTGTGGTGGGGGTTGGTCAGGGAAGGCTTGTGGGAAGAAGTGATCTCTCAGCTGGGGTTTGGGAAGGGTGGCTAGGAGTTCTGTGGACTGCCAAGGGAGCAAAGGGCATAGCCTGTGCCAAGGTGGGACTGGCTTGAAATGGTATAATTTAAGAAATTACTGTTTTATGTTGGTGGGGTGTCAAGTGTGAGGAGGGGGTCGAGGGAGACAGACTGGGTCATGGAAGGTCATGCATGTCTGCTCTGAACTATTGTGGCATGAGAGAGTAACTCTCCAGTCACACCTGAGGTAGGACTTCTGCTCGGCACTTCTTAGTTCTGTAATGCTAGACAAGAAGTATCGCTTCAGTGGGATGACTAAATGGCCTAATATGATGTATGGCACAGAGTGGGTGCTCAACAAAATGCTTTGGTTTCTTCCTCCTTGGCTGCCTTCTCCTCCCTACCATTAGGTAAACTTTTTGAGGGCAGGCCTCACACCCCTACTTCCTAGAGCCCGTCCTGCATTTGTGGAAAGCATATTCCCTCTGACATCCATTTCCTTTCCCTGACATGCCTGCTGTCTAAGCAGAGGCCCTTGTACACTGTCTCCCGGTTTTTCTGTTCATTTATTCCTTAATGGGAAACCAGGGACTGCTGATGAATTGTCTAAGGTGACTTTGTTTTTGGAATAGAGAATCAGGGTAAATGTTCCTTCAGAAGACTTTTAGCCTTGGTTTTGGGTTCGAAAGTGCCAGGTTGGTTTAAGTCAATGCTGAAATCATGGAATGTCTCAGGGCATTATTTTGGCTTAAAAATGGGATATAATATCTAAACATTTTGTGGGTCTCATGGCTGCTATACGAGTGTGGCATTAGTTAGGTGGTTTACTGTATACAGTTTTAAATAGCACTGAAACAAAATCTAGGAAACCTGAGGGAAATTATTAAAGAATACTGGTCTCGTCATGTATCATATGACGTCACTGATATGAGGAATTCTTAATCTCAGGAAACAAACTGAGGGTTGCTGGAGTGGTGGGGGGTGGGAGGGATGGGGTGGCTGGGTGATAGACATTGGGGAGGGTGTGTGCTATGGTGAGCGCTGTGAATTGTGCAAGACTGTTGAATCACACAGATCTGTACTTCTGAAACAAATAATGCAATATATGTTAAGAAAAAAAAAGATAGCAGGAGGGGAAGAATGAAGGGGGGGAAATCAAAGGGGGAGGTGAACCATGAGAGACGATGGACTCTGAAAAACAAACTGAGGGTTCTAGAGGGGAGGGGGGTGGGGCGATGGGTTAGCCTGGTGATGGGTATTAAAGAGGGCACGTTCTGCGTGGAGCACTGGGTGTTACGCACAAACAATGAATCATGGAACATTACATCAAAAACTAATGATGTATGGTGATTAACATAACAATAAAAAATTTAAAAACAAATTCTGAAGAAAGATGCAGGATTTCATGAAACAATGGAAGCTAGAGAACCACAACTGCTGGAATCAAATGCAAAGTAATACAGAGCATGTTGGTATTAAAATAATTAACCACCGACGAAGAAAGTTTTAAAAGGATCTTGACAAGGTTTACTTTTTTACTTTTAAGTGAATCTCTCAAAGTTTATTTTGTTGTTTCTTTATATAAAATTTTGGTCCTTGCTTTAAGTGGAAAAAAAAAGAATACTGGTCTCGTCAAGTTTACCTTCCTTGTTTCTTTTTAATGGCCAACTCTTGTTCCTTCCCCCAGTTGCACTGCCTTGAAATTATGTGAGGATTTGCATCTTGTTCTTTGGCCACTTTGGGCAATTGCAGTCATATTTGAAATTCTGGTTTCAGTGTTAAAATAGACACACTTTCAGGGTTTCCTGGAAACCTGTTGACAGGTCAGTGCTACACCATCTCCTAGCACTTCCACCTATGTCTGAGAAGGGGGCGCCAGAGTCCTCCTTTCCTGAAAAGCTGGGAGCAGGAGCTAATTTGCAAGTGATTTAGAAATTGTTTTTAATGTTGAATTTCCCTTTCTTTTCAAGTTTATTTGGAGTCTGCTTATCTTTGATCTCAGGAGCAGCAGAATCAGGCAGTTTAGCAAGCTTCTGCTTTCCAGAAAACTTCTCAACACTGTGCATGTGCCGTATAGGTTGCAGTGTGTGTATTGGGGGGGTGGTGGGAAAGGGGAAGCAGAAATACAATGTAAATGAAGACTCCGGTGTCCTTTCTGTGTTTACCTGGCCTGCACCTTCCAGCTCTTTAAAAAAAAAAAAAAATCAGTCTCTGATAGTGTGGGAAGCATCCCCACACTGGAGAGACACTTTTTGTTACAAGAGTTTAGATTTAGTACATAATTTCCCCTTACAGAAATTTTGTCTGTAGCATTGTTTCTAAGCAGGAAAAAGAGTCCTTTTTGATAAAGGAAGAATTATATTGGGAGGAAAGTATTTTTCATTCCTTAAAATATCGGATGAAGCTTAGCAGAAGGAAATATATGTGCCCAGGAAAAATAAGAATAAAATTAACTTATTTACAGTGAACTGCAAAAGAAAGGATGGCCCTGGAGAAAAAAACAGGGCTATTAATTTTTAAGGAAAAATGTCTTTTATGGTAAGCTTGGTTTTCTCTTTTAAAATAATTACAGTTTTCCACAAAGTTGTTAGCTCTTAGGTTACCCACCTTCCCCTGTCTTTTTTTAATGTTTATTTCAGGCCTCTGGTACATTTACCCTTGGCTCTCCAGAGGAAGATTCTTGGACCAGATTGGATAAGGCAAGCCTGCTGTTGGGCGCTCTATAGGAGCATTTTGTATCTAGAAGTATTTTTTTCTGAGCTTTCCTTATTTGCAATGTTCTTGTTTCTTCATGACAGCTGTCCTTTGTTTTCCACACAGAACCAGCTTGTTTTTTACTAAGTCTGGGACTAGTTCTCACCTGTGCCTTAGAACAGAAACTTGGGTTACTTTTTCCTCTTGTACCCTGAATCTCAGAGTAAATGGGTGACTCACGAAATATTGGTGGACTTTGACTCTATTTTCAAATTTTCAGGGACACATTTATTAACGAAATTCAAAGGTTTGGCTGGCTTTGGTGAATTTGCTCTCGCTTACATGCTGTTTTTATTTGGGTGCACACTGGTTTTATAGCTGTTTAAGTTCAATCTCCTTTCCAAAGAGTTTTTAATATCTCTTTAGATTCCCCCCTTTTTTTTAAAGGAAAAAAAAATGGTAAGAGGGGAAAATGGGGTTGCCTTTTGCTCCCAAGCCTAAATGAATAGTCATTGCTTGTAATACCGGTCCACACTTGACGCTTCCTACTGCTTTAGATGTGATGTATCCGGTGCTGTGAAGGTAATGATCCTCAACCACAGCAATATTCCATAACAGGAGTATCTGTCATATTCATCGGGATTACCATGTTCATTGATTTGTGTCTGTAAATCTGCTGTTTCTACCCTTTAAATTTGATCTATAATTGGACCTCCTTAAATGGTTCAGATAAGGTAGTCTGTATTTTCTCAATACAGCGTGGCTGTCAGCTTCTCCTTTTTCATTATACATTCAGCAGACTTGATAAAATCAGCAGGACACCTCATTTGAAACTGTTTAATCGCTGCCTTTTTCCTTTGCTAAAACCATTGAGGTGGTCAAGCGATGTACACAAATCATTTTAAATAGAAAATATGGTTTTCTCTGTGACCCAGCTAAATAGATAGTGTTATGCAAAACAAGTTAAAAAGTAATAAATGCCAAAAAAATCTTCTAATTGGAGTAAAAAATTGTGGGCAACTCTATCCTCTCTCCAAAAGTAGAGTATCCTGAAATATTGCCAGGACCCTGTAAAGACAAGATGATGGTTTTCTAAAGATTCTCTGGTTTCTGAACAAAGCAAGTTTAAATTTTCAAATAGTGCTGAGCTGCCTTTTACATCCATTCAAAGGGAGCCCACACTTATTTGTAACGCCTTTATATCCTACTTTTGTAGGGAGAAATCTGTCTGTTAATATCTATGTAGCATAACCTTTCAGCCATTTGCTATTGTGGTAATAAATTTTTGTTTCTTTGTCTGTCATTTTGTCTACTCAGCTGTTACTCTTCAAAGTACGAACTAAAAATAATAGCTCCAAATAAATGCCACATAATAAAGTGTTTTACAGTTGAAGCTGGAATAACCTGGTGGCTGCAGCTTGCAGTCCTATTACCATTGCTGGGGCTGTAGTTTCTTCCCCGAGTGTCAAGGTGACTCTGCCAGGGCCAGCTCATTAAAACAATCTATCCTTTCTAACTGGCGTGGTATTTAGCGCTGTGCCCAGCAGCCTGCCAAGGCCCAGTTGTGGAGCACAAGACTCCCGGGATAGCATGTATGAAATTATGTGGCATTCACTTTTTGAAAAAATACAAATTCTCCATAACCTCATTTTCCTGCTTCAGCATTTTATTGTGAATAATTTACAGTTACTCCTGTCAGTAGTGAACGTAGGGCCAGTTGCAGGCTTACCCGAGACAGTGGTAAGTGTGACTTGAGGCTTTTGAGGGCCATTGTTTACCTGGTTTATGTGGCCCATAGGATTAATATTTACACTGTGTTCGAGTGGGACGCTGGGCGTGTTTTGCCATTTTTACTGCCCTGAAGTAAACTTGAGAGGGAGAAGCTGGGAGTCGATAAATAGACTAAAGATGCATCTTTTTCTTTCAGGTTCTGGCTCCTTGGCAGCAATGGCTGTGTTTGAAGATAAGTTTAGGCCAGATATGGAGGTATGTAAGTCCCTGCAGTTTTATTTTCTGTCACGTTTTTCCAACTCTGTGTCGGACATTTATAAATTGATTGCCGATTCCTCCAAAGCTTGTACAGCACTGTTGTTAGTTGGAATCCTCTTTGGCACAGGTAACTGCGTTTGCTGAGAAGACCGGTTGGTTGGGGAACTTCATTTTGGAGTGGCCCTACCATGCCCTCCCCCAGGCTTGGGGAGCCAGCACTGCTCAGCTTTTTGTTCTGGCCTTTGGGCTGTCTGGGGACTCTTATTGGCCGTAGATGCTGCTGCAATGTGGAATGTTTGCTTGTGCACTCAGCGTTCTCTGTCACAGTATCTCAAAACGACGAGTTTTTTTGTTTTCTCACCGAGAATAGAGAAACTATGTATGTCTTTGCATGTCACACAGACCTGGTCTGAAAATGGGGCCGCTTAAAAAGCCCCTGTAGATTGTTCTGCATCTGGAAGAAAATGGGGACAAGATCGTATGTGTGTGTAGTGGACTGTTCTCAGGATGACGGATCTAATGTCTCAAATATATTTGTAGGAGATCCTTTATTGTGTTTTCTTTGGTGGTAGGGGAGGGTGGTACCTTCTGAATGGCCTTCCACCTGTCTGCTTTAGTGATAGATGTACCCCCCATTAAGCAACCTCCCCACCCCCAGATCTCCAGGAACAAACCCACAGGTCTTCCATTGTCACTTTCGAAGGAGCGTTCAGTATGCTTGGGTACTTCATGGTACCACATTATTCCTCTGCTGTGCTTTATCCCTGCTGCTCAGCCAGCTTGTGGGCACAGAGGTCCTGAAGTCAGCCTTCATTATCTGCTCTTGGTTTTTTGATAGTTGTTAATTTTGTGATGGTGCATATCAACTTGTTTCAACAGTCAGTAGGCTGTTTATGAGTGGTTTACCCTATTCTTTAATATGTAGGCATCTGCTCTTTCTGCCTTTGCAGGATTGTTTTGTTTAGATACCAGAGGATATCTCTGGGAATTACTTTTTGACAATGCTTTATGCGTAATCATCTTTGGAGGAGATTGCATATTTAAACATTCTTGTTCTTCCACCAGCTCATTGTCTTCAGAGCACCAGCTGTCGTTGGAACTCTGAAGCTCTCTCTGCCCTTTAGGTTTGGGCCAACTGCCCTGAGAGCCAGAGGATGTAGGGTTGTGGATGCTGCCCAACCAGGACAGGGGTCTCCTGCCAGAAGCCTCTCTGCCCTTGGTACATGAGGTTAGCACACATAAGTGACTTGGTCACTGACGGCTAGATTGCTCTCCTTTCTTGGACATCTGCCAGAATTAAAACCTGTGACTAAATAAAGATAGAATTTAGCTAGGTGTTTTGTAGTAAAAATAATAGTGTCTTGCTCCAATTAAGAATAGTAAACAGGTCCAAGTATCAACTATAAATGAGATTAGGATTCTGTTCTCATTTCTCAATGTGAAAATTTATTCCCATATCAGCATTATTTTCTTTTTGGGATTCTTAAGCACAGATAAAAAATAAGATCTACTAGGTCACTTAAAAAGAAAAAGAAAAAAAGGTCTCCCGGTCTTCAGACTAAAGGAGAGAAGTTCCCGAGGCTTCACAAATCCATTAGAACTAATGAAGGTATGGGGAGAAAGACTGACGATTTTTGTTTAGAAAATCGCCTCAGTAATGTCAGGCCCTCCTTTAAACCACATTAATCTTTTCAAATTTTCTTGAAAGCTTTGTCTATTTCCAATTGATTGGAACCTCCATATGTTAGAGAAAAATGAGAATTGCAGAAAAAGTTGAAAGCAAGAGGTATATTAAAAGTGACTTAACACTCTGCTAAAGTAATTTTACATTATTCAGAGTTTAGATTTGAAGTGATTCAAAGGCCATGAATTTAATATTGATGTGATTCGAGGGAATAAAGGGAAATGTGATCATCCCTTCAATAAAATTTGTGGTATCATCAGTCTGAAGAATGTGTTCCTTAGATCAACTTTAAATGCAACTCAGACCACTTGATGTTCTGTATCAGCTGTGAGACCTTGAAATAGCCTGGCCAAATTCCCATTTCAGATTGATTAATTAATTTTACAATTTCATGTGACTGGTTTTGGTCACGGAAGTTGAAACTTGACGCAGACTGACAGTGAACAAAATCACTCTATCATAAAGAAGGTAGTACCTGCTTCTTCGGTGAAGTGACTTTAAATGTAAATAGAAGGCAAATAATAGTATAACAACTGTCAGGAGATAATACTTAAAAAATCTGAAGGGTTGTTGATAGAGACCAAAAGAATTTATTGTAAAGACCACGCCACTAACGACTGGCTACCTTGCTTTTTTTTTTTATTATTATTATTGTTATGTTAATCACCATATATTACAGGCCACCTTGCTTTTTTGAGGGGAAGATTAAATGATGCACTTTCAATGGGAGGCTGAGACTGGCCGGCGAAGTTGAGAGGATGAGTTTTAATGAATTCTTTGTTGTGAAAGAGAATTTGGCAAGGTGTCATTTCTGGCTCTGCATGTGCATAGAACTTGTGGAGACATTTTGGTTTCAGATTTCCCAACTTTATTTTCCTTCTTTCCAGGAAGGCTTTCTGTCTTTCTGTGACAAGAGGCCCTCCATGAAATTTTCTTTCTCACCTCTTTTGAGACTGCAGGTTGGATGGCTGAATCTGCTTATTTCCTTCCAGTATGAGAAAGGGTTCTAGACATGTCTCACACAGAAACCCAGGCGGGCACTGCCGCCTCTTACATCTTACATGGATTGCCAGGACAGTAGCCTCTGCACACTTCACAGAGAATTGCGTAAGAAAGGGGCAGTTTCAGGCTATCATAATTACGTATTCTTTGCCAAACAGTGATTTTTAGTCCAGACTCATTCAACAAACTCTTGGCTTTATTGTTAAAACAAATCAATTAGAGGTAGCTCATAGTACACCCCTCCTTTTCTTTCCTTCCTTCCTCCCTCCCTCCCACAAACCTGTGCCTTGGAAGTGTTGCTCCTAGACTGCAGTTTTTCTGGAATGAAAGTCCCTGTCTCCTTAAAAACCTTTACTGTGTTCTCATTATCTTTAGCTTCATAGTCCAGTGTGGTAGCCAGCAACCACATGTAGCTATTGAGCATTTGAAGTGTGTCTGGTCTGACTTGAGAGTGCTGTAAGTAGAAAATGTACACCAGATTTTAAAGACTTAGTACAAAAAATTTTAAAAATATATTTCATTGGGGCATTTGGGTGGCATAGTCGGTTAAGTGTCCAATTCTTGGTTTTGGCTCAGGTCATGATCTTAGGGTTGTGAGATCGAGCTCTGCATTGGGCTCTGTGCTCAGCGGGGAGTCTGCTTGGGATTCTCTCTCCCTCTCCCTCTGCCCCTCCCCACCATTGGCATACATGCATGCATGCATGCTCGCTTTCTCTCTAAAATAAATAAATCTTCAGAAAATATGTATATATTTCATTAATGTGTATATTCATTGCATATTGAAACAGTACTACTTTAAGTGTATTGGGTTAAATAATAAACTATTAAAATTTAATTTCGCTTATATTTATTTATTTTTAAGATTCTACTTATTCACTTGTGAGAGAGCTTGCGTGAGCACGAGTAGGGGGAGGGGCCGAGGGAGAGGAGAGAGAGAGAATCTCTTGCAGACTCCGCACTGAGCGTGGAGCCTGACGTGGGACTTGGATCTCACAACCTGAGCTGAAACCAAGAGGCAGACACTTAACTGACTGAGCCACCCAGGCACCCCTATTTTTACTTTTTCAAATGTAGCTACTAGAAAATTTAAAACTATGTATGTGGTTCACATATTTCTACTGGACAGGCTAGGATAGTATTGTTTCTTGAACTTGTCCTTTGCATATCACATTTAAGGTTTTTGCCATATCCAGGTAACACCTGTACTATTATTTTTCTTGAGAAATTTTTAAAAAATTAATTCACTGTTTTATAAATTGAGATAGCACTTACATGGAATAAAATGCACGGATCTTTACAGTTAGATAGATCTTGGCATTTGTAATTCATTTTTTTCATCAGTTCCCTTTCTCTTCTTCCCTACAATCACTTCAGTTCACCTTTTTAAGTTAAATTTAGTTTTTAAATATAGTTTAGATCTGTGAATTCCTGGGTTTGGTGTGTTGGTTTTTTTTTTTTCCCCTGAGACACATGAAAGTGAGTGCACACTATTAATATAAATAAAAAATGTATTCATGTATCACCCATCTTGTGCAAGCCCAAGAATATGAGTAGTAGACTTTGGGAAACCTAGGGCTACATCCCACTCCCCCACAGCCCTTCCTGCCAGCTTGCTGCTGCTGGATACAGGGTGTACTTGCTTGGCATTGAATCCTCACTGCCCGTGTTGGCCGGCAGTGCCCTCAGTTGCTTCTTCATTTATTTGTGTCCTTGTACACACGTGTCCCATTGTTTTATGGCTGTTTTGGGGGGCATCTTCCTCACTTGCCCTTGATAGAGGGAGACCCTTGTGCGCAGAGGCCATGAAATCATCTCTGTTCTTCAGCTCATGTTCAGTATGTGTTTGTTGAGTTGAGACAGGATAACCCTGCGCTTTATAAAGCAAAATCTGAGTCATCAAAAACCACCTGGGAAATGGAGGGGACTTTCTCTTCTTCCGATTTGGAAAGTGCTGAACGTTTTTCTGAGATAACAGAGGAAGATAATTACTACACTTCTCAAGTAATATACTGAATTGGGGCAGAGTCAACAGAGCAAACACCCCATTAAGTACACAGGCAACACAAAGATGGAGCAAAGGGCAAATGCTCATTGGGAAATTATAGGCCAAAAAGCAGAACAGTGAAACCCAGCTGGGATTCATGAATGGCTAAGACAGGCCTCTGCTGTTTCAGGTTATCTGAGCCAATGACTTGCCTCAGGTAAAAGCCCTGGTTCAGGTTTGCAGAGAACCTGCCAGCTAACCATGTGAGTTTAAGAGACCTTACAGTCTTTACGAATCCTCACCCGGTTATGACCTGGCACTGCTTCA